GGGGGGGGGGGGGGGGGGGGGGGGGGGGGGGGGGGGGGGGGGGGGGGGGGGGGGGGGTTCTAGTAGGTAAACGTGTTGGATAACGCATGCAATTGGTGAAGTTGGGTTATGGTTAGGGATGGGGTCTGCGTATCCCCTTCCTGTTGTATTTCCTCAATAGCTTGATGTCTCGCGAAGGCCGTCCCCGTCTGTTTTTTTCTTGTTCGGTACAGTAGTAGCCCCATCCTGTTGTCGGTTACGGTAGGTCCCTGACGGGCGGTGTCTTCGGGTGTGCAGCTTTCCCTGCGTACCACGACCTTTGTATAAGCACGCTTTGTTTCGTTTCGGAGCTGAATTCGAAGATGTTTAACTGCTGGGGTGGGGTGGTGGGTATGGGTGGGTTTGTTGGATAGTCTCTCTCGCGCGTCTCAGGTGCGGTAGATGTACACTCGGCGCATCCGCCCGATTTCTCCGCACCATCAATGGACAGGGCGCCGCGGTTGTTGCAGGCCAGGTCCCATGTCTTGTTCGCGGTGGATGCTAAGGTTGCTAAGCGTTATTCTCGCTCCACTTACGTGCGCTTCTCTTGCCAGTGTTTGTGTCGGTGACTTGTCGTGTCACGCGCAGTACTGAAAGCTTGCCACGTGTTCCACGAACTCCGTGATGCGAGTGCATAGCTCTTGGTCTGACGACCCCTGCCCTCGTTTTTCTGCTCTTGTGCAGCTGACATCGGCTATGAAAGAGGCGGACAGCTTGAGGGAAGAAGTAGAGAAGCTCAAGGCCAAGGTGGGAGAGCTGGAGACACAGGTGGCGGAGGGGGAAGTTGCCAAGAACAAAGCGGAGGCTGCCGCCGCTGCAGCTACGGCAAAGGCTGAGGCTGCAACTGATGCTGCTGCTGCTGCCGCCGCCGCCGCTGCTACCGGTGAGTCGAGAAACGTGACCGCGTGTTGATGTCTTGTGCTTGGGGGTGCTTTGGATGGCCGTTGGTGGTTATGGTGTGGGTGGCATGGCGCGGAGTTCTATCGTCTGGTTATATATCTTTGTCAGCCGTCGATCGTTGGTGTTGATACGGGGTCGGTGCTTCGACAACCCAAGCACCGCCGTGTCTGTCCGCCCATAAGACAACCGGCCGCCTGCCCGCCGCGGTCCGTCGTGCCCCACCCTTTCTTGTTACACCCTGATAATTTGTTCCAAGTTTCTCAATAACGTCTTTCTCCATCGCGCGAACAAAATCAAAAGCGGACGACTCGGCCGCCTCGGGTGCCGCCGCCGCGGCCGCCGACGAAGCCGAGAGCCTGCGCGCCAAGATCGCGGAGCTCGAGGCTACCGTCGAGGAGGAGAAGCAAGCTGCCGCCACCGCCGCCGCCGCCGCCGCCGCCGCCGCCGCCTCCACCACTACCACCATCACCGCCGCCGCTTCTTCTCCCGACGGCTCCGCCGAGCTTGAGACCATGCGCGCGTCCATCGCCGACCTCGAGACTGCCCTCGCGGCAGAGAAGGAGAAGTCAGCCGCCGCCGCCGCCGCTGCCGCCGCTAACGCTGATTCTTCTTCCGTCAGCCGTAGCGCTCCTGTCGCCGCTTCGGAGAGCGGAGGGAGTTCGGAAGAGGCATCGGCCCTGCGTGCTAGGGTTGCGGAGCTCGAGGAAGAGCTTGAGCGGAAGAACGAAGAGATGGCGAACATGCCTCCGCCCCCAGCGGTGCCGGCGGCGCCGGCGTCGACGAGCTCACAGGTAAGCAAGGGCGGCAGCGCGTAGGCCCGGAAGCGTTAAATGAGGCTGTTGAAGCGTTATTCTACAAGTTACAGGGCTGTTGAAGCGTTATTACACGATAAAGTTTGATGGAAAAGTTGAGTTTCATGCAAAGGATTGCCGGATAACTTGAGCGGTGTCTCGGCCTCTGGTAAGGAGGTTGTGTAACAGGGGGGGAGAGAGGGACTAATAACGCGACGAGGAGAGTTCAGGTGATGTCCTTGTTGATCCTTCACTTTGTGACCGGCAATGGTGCAAAATGGCGGTATGCGGTGTGTACTGTACCATGGTATTTTTTTTCTGTTGTGCGGATTTTTGGAGGGTGATTAGCCGACCGGGTCTGTGTGTTGTGTGTTTCTCTCAAGAAAGAAACTAGTTGATGTGCCGTCCCAGTTGTTGAGGGAAAACGCGCACGTTACTATGTAAACATTTCATGCGGCTTTTTTTTTTTTCACGAAACAATAGGCCGCCTCTCACCCTCCACCGTGTCGTCGCCCTTATCCTCCACAACATGCCAGGGGGAGCTCGAGCAGCGCGTGGCAGAGCTTGAGGCGGAGCTTGCCGAGGAAAAGAAAGCCAAGGCTATGGCAAGCGCCGCCGCCGCCGCATCATCATCAGCATCATCATCTTCCCCAGACAGCAACAACGGCCACCGCAGGAGGAGCAGCGGCTCCGGCGGCGGCGGCGGCGGCGGCGGCGAGAACAAGGCTCTGCGCGCGACAGTGGCCAAGCTGGAGAAGGAGCTAGCGGCAGAGAAGTCGGCGCTGAAGGCA